TTAAAATTAGCCAGGTACAGTGGCACGTACCAATAATCCCAGCTGAAGCTGAGGTGAGAGGATCACTTGAGCCCAGGTGATCGAGGCAGCAGTGAGCTATGAACATGTCACTGCACTTCAGCCTAGGCGAGAGGGCGAGGCCCTGTTTCTAAAACAACAAAACAAACAAATGAAACCAATACGCTTCAAAAGCGAAGGGGGAAAAGCCAGACTACACACAGACAGTTTCTGGCCAATGATGGTCGATGGAAATGTCCCTCTAGAAGAGATGTGAGGGGAAAATTAGTTACCTAATTTAATGGTTCATGAGGTCAACTCTTTCCTCATCTATAGAAAACCTTCAGTTAATTTTCTCTACTTTTCAAATCTCTCTTAAAAATCACCTTTATAAAGAAAGTTTCTAGCCAATACTAAATCAATGTTCTGATCAGTTATCATTCTCCTTTCTTACAGAGGTTTTAATCATCTTGTTCACTGTCATTTATGTCTGAGACTAAGAAAATATTAAGTAAATTCTAGAACCACTTACAAATTCTTAACAGTCCAAGAAGAAGAGAGGATGATATACGAAAATGTCTCAACTTCATTTTTTAGGCCTTCCTAATGAGCTAGTTTCAAGCTACTGGGCAAGGACAAATAGGGACAGTGTATGCATTTAACTTGCCATATAAAGCAGAGAATATTTTTCACATTTAATGTTTTTAATACAGTCGCCAAAATAAATTTCATCCTGCAATCCTGAAATTAAATTCTACTTCCCACTATTGATTTTCTACTATTACAGTAGTTCTCAGCCCTGGTATTAAAAATTTGACTTTAGGCCAGGCATGGTGGCTCACACCTGTGATCTTTGGGAGGCCAAGGCAGGCTGATTGCTTGAGCCTGGAAGTTCGAGACCAGCTTGGGCAACGTAGCAAAACCCTGTCTCTACAAAAATTTAAAAAAATAGCTCAGTGGGGTGGCGTGCAGCTGTAGTCCCAGCTCCTCAGGAGGCTGAGGTGGAAGAATCGCCTGAGCATGCGGAGGTCAAGGCTGCAGCAAGCCAAGACTGCACCACTGCACTCCATTGCCTAGGCAACAGAGCAAGACCCAGTCTCAAAAGAAAAAAAAAAGAAAGGAAGAAATTTGACTTTAAAAATATCTTTGGAGTCTTTCATGAGAATATTACATTTATCCACTATTCTCAAAGTGTACACACTATGAAGAGAGCAAAATCCTATCTAACTGAACAGCTACATCTGTTCCAATCATTCTCAGAAGATCAGTTATTTCAGTGGCTCAAAAAAAATCCAATTGCCAGGTTGCAGTGGGACTAGTTTTTGTGCTGGGTCAAATTACCCAAGGGGAAAGGAAGCAGAGAACTCAGTTCCCAAGTATGTGCTCATTCCTGAGAGAGGCAAGGAACTCTTGATCCTTTGCCTGTGCCGTCCCAGTACTAACAAGCTACTTGTAGGGGGTGAGGGCAGGCCGCATAAATTCTACCCCAATACCAAAACCCTGGCTGGAATGATCACCAAACAAACAAGGGAAAGGTATTAGTCACAAATAGATAGATCTCAGAGTTACTAGTAATGTTCCTCAAGTTTAAATCCTGTCTATCACGATGAGCCGGCCTCTTTTACTGCAGCCGGTCAAAATGAAACAAGATGTTCTTATGTGAAATCTAAAATATGAAGCGCAACTTGATTCAGAGTATTAGGGGTAAAGATAATATTTCCAAGTAGCAGCCTCAGTTGCAAACCTTTTCTCTGCTAGTTTTATCTACGTATATCGACCACTTCTTTTGCCCCAGGCTATCTATGATGACCACCATTGGATAATGCACATGGCCATTAGTGTGGAAGCAAATTCTAACAAAATTCATAGAAATGACAAGATTACCATTATACAACTCGCGCAGGTACTGCTGAAGCATCAGCATCTCATGAACAAAGCTTATAATATTTGGTATATTATATTTGGTATATTTGACTATTATGGTATATTAGATTATAATATTTCATAACAATTAAAATAACGATTAATATTTATGGCAACATGGAAAATACAGAATCAAATGAGAAAGCAAGGCACACCGCATCTGTATTATGTATATACATTAAAAAAGACTAGAAGAAAACCTAAACAAATGAAAATTGCCTGATGACTTTTTCACTTGTTTTATGTAGATATCCATTACTCTTGCTAGAATGCTATTTGTGTAACAGAAAATATAAATGGTTAAGATTTATAAATACAAATAGCACACTTAACCACAGTGGGATACCACTACCTATCAACTGGCTGACTTCATGAAAAATGCTTTTACAGTCAACTGATTTATCTAAAGCTCACGACACGCTGATCAGAAATGGAGACTATGTCTACTACCACAATTTACACTACATAGCTTCCGATGGCCAGGCACGGTGGCTCCTACCTGTAATCCCAGCATTTTGGAAGGCTGAGGCGAGAGAATCACTTGAGCCCAGGAGTTCAAGACCAGCCTGGGCAACACAGTGAAACCTTGCCTCTACAAAAAAATGTTTAAAATTAGCCAGGAGTGGTGGCTCGTGCCTATAGTCCCAGCTACTCAGGAGACTAAGGTGGGAAGCCTGAGCCCATGACTTCGGGGCTGCAGTGAGCTGTGATCGTAACACTGCACTGCACAGCCTGTGCAACAGAGCAAGTGAGATCCCATCTCAAAAAAAAAAAAAAGCTTCCTACCCAGGTACAGTAAGTAGCCTGTACCTTAATCCCAACTACTCGAGAGGCTGAGGTGGGAGGTGGGAGGACTGGTTGCGCCCAGGAGACTGAGGCTGCAGTGAGCTATGTATGCACCACTGCATCATACCCTGTCTCTTAAATTTAAAAAAAAGGAGCTCCCCATAATTTTCACCTCAAAAATTTAATATGAACTCTTCTTAGGTGATTACTTTCAAGAAATATTCCCACTTCATAAAACAAAATCAAAATGACTTATAGAATGTAAAGATTCAAACATATATACTTTCAAATTTATTAGTTTTATACAAAAAACTAAATTTCACAATACTAAGATTAAGTAAAAGGGCCATAAAATTAGATTATCAGTCTGTAGAACGACACCATCCAGTATGTCTGTCACTAACTACGTGTGGCTATTTGAATTTAAATTAAAATTTAAAAAATTAGAAAATTCAGTTCTTCAGTCACCCTAGCCACATTTCACATGACCAACTGCTGCAAATGGCCAGCGTAGCGGCTACATATTAGGGAGCACAGACATCCAACACTTCTTTCAACATAGTAAGTTCTACTGGACAGCACTACTCTTGAGGAAATTTGCCACAAAAATGGCATAAAACTTAACATCACACAATAAAAAATCAAGATGTAAATAAAAATGTTCTGTATCTTGACTATGGTAGGAGTTTACTGGTACACACAACGGTCACAACTTAACGAGGCGTGCATTTTAGACATAGTAATGCATGTAAATTACTTCTCAATAAAGTTTAGGGAAAAAAAGAACAAACACATGACCACTGATGAATTTCTAAGGAAAACAAAAAACACTTAGGACATACATAGTAAGTTCCAAAGTCCTGACCAGCTTGCTTACAGATTCCGTGGCTCTAGACTCCTGGGGTATCAGTCTGCAGTCCTCAGCAGAGTGGAAGCAGATGGCTGGGACAGTGAGGTGAGTGCATAGCTGTGTGCAGTGAAAAGTGGTGGCCACAAAGGCAGGAGAAAAGAGATCCAAGATATTGTGGAAAGCAAGGGACAATGTATGTGGCCCTCCTAAAATGTACCACTGCATCTCAACCTCAAAGCATCAACTACACAGTGAAAATCACATCCACTAACTGAGGGGCCACTGAAGACAAAAGGAATTAACAAACAGTTATACAGCATATAGCCTCACATAGATATCTTTAAAATGGTTTAAAAATGTGTTAAGGTAATAAGCTACCCAAAATACTTAAAGATTTAATAGCCGAGACTCAGAACGGCCAAGTATTACCAGTCTCAATTCTATATGAGTGAAATATCATTCAGGTGATAAATTTAGCTGATAGGTTAAACCAAGAATCACAGCTAATCATTAACAGCAACCACAGCTCCTCCTGCCTCAGAGTGATTACAACCAAAAAGCCACTCTCCAGGCACAACCCCAGCCCTCTAAAAGGTGGACAGGAGAGTGAAGAGGGTGGGGGAACCATGCTTCCCAAAGTAATTCAGCCAAGAACAGTGATCCCTAATTTGTTCAGTTGACAGTAACTGCTAAAGTCCAATGGCCTATTAGGACAGCAACTTTTAATTATTTTTGTTATGTCAGATATTTTCTATTTTATTCAAACACTTCTGTAATCACTAGTAGCTATCAAAGGTTTATTAGAAATGGCAAAACAAAGTTCAATAGAAATGGTTAACGATATTATGGCATACTAGCTTATAATATTTTATAACAATTAAAATCATGATTATGAATATTTATGGCAACATGGAAAATACAGAACCAAACAAAAAAGCAAAGTACACCACATTTATATTATGTACATACATTTAAAAAGACTAGGCCAGACGCGGTGGCTCACACCTGTAATACCAGCACTTTGGGAGGCCAAGGTGGGCGGACCACCTCAGGACGGGAGTTTGAGACCAGCCTGACCAACATGGAGAAACCCTGTCTCTACTAAAAACACAAAATTAGCCAGGCGTGGTGGCACATGCCTGTAATCCCAGCTACTCTGGAGGCTGAGACAGGAGAACTGCTTGAACCCAGGAGGCAGAGGTTGCCATGAGCCAAGATTGAGCCATTGCACTCCAGCCTGGACAACAAGAGCAAAACTCTGTCTCAAAAAAAAAAAAAAAAAAAAAAAAAAGACTAGAAGAAAACCTGAACAAATGAAAATTGCTTGACTGATAGCTTTTTCACTTTTTTGTTTATGTAGATATCCATTACTCTTGCTATAATGCTATTCATGTAACAGAAAATATAAATTGTTAATATTTATAAATACAAACAGCACACTTACCACAGTGGGATTGCCACTACTAATCAACTGGCTGACTTCATGAAAAATGCTTTTGCAGTCAATTGATTTATCTAATGATCCTCTTTTTACAATTACTGCTACTGCTAGTAGAATCTGTTCCCGAACATACTTTTGAAGGCTGTAAAACATAAAAATCATTATGAAAAATTTACCTAAATCTAATACAAGAATACTTCCAAACTTCTCTCTATGCCTGTAGCTACTAATAACATTGCTTACATGTGAGAGTAGCAGAGCCAAATGGTTATGTACAGACTCCAAAGCCAGGGGGCCTGGGTTCAATCCCAGGCTCCATTGTGGACGGGCTGTATGACCCTGGGCAAGACAGTTAGCATTCAGGGCCTTGGTTTTCTCATCTGTAAAATGAGAATAACACTGCTAGTGTTATTATAAGGGTTAAATGTTCCTAGAGCTGTGCCCAGTACATACTAAGCACTATACAAGTGTTATTTGCTCCAGGAAGCATTCAACAGATGTAAGTCAGCTCCCTGTTAAATATTTATAGGGAAAAAAAATCACTAAGATTAAGATTCCACTAGTTTGGAAATAAATTCTGATCTAACCTACATCTACAACCACTAATCTATCCTAAATCCCATTTCCCTTTAATGTTTAAAGGCAACATACTAGCTATCCAAGATACATCATTATGGAAACATAAAATTGTAATAAAACACACACATTCAAAACGTTCATATCTAGGTTCTGTTCCTTCCTGTGATGACAGAAGCACCCGTCCCAAGTGGAGGCATTTTACCAAGCCCATTTGACCACAAGGGCACAGAAACTTAATTGACTTTTCACAATCTTTCCTGAAAGAGAAGGATCAGAAAACATACTCCCAAACTTTATAATCTAGCCTCTAGAATCCCACAAAGATAAACTTTATAATCTAGCCTCTAGAATCCCACAAAGATAGAGCCGCCATGTGCCCCTGGAATAAACTCAAACCCCTTAACATGGCTTATAAGCAGTGGGAACCATTCTAGCTTTCCTGGGACAGCCTCAATTTAACTGTTGCCCCAAATAATTATTAATAGTTCTTTATTTCACTCTCCAAAGTGTCCCAGTTTGGACACCCACCTACAGCCACTGGTGGCTGCTCCTCTGCTTGACGTCTGCCCTTCCACACACACTCACACCTGCAGACACATTGACCTTTCACTTCCTCACTCCACACTCGTGCACTTCCAGGCCTCTGAACTTCTATTCCCTCTCCCAAGATTGTGATGTCACTTTCTCCAGAAAGTTATTACTCAGGGTTCCCACGGCATCCTCACATGACATGACATATCTGTTACTACAGGTTCACTAGCTCCCAGATCAGCTGCCCATTCTATGCACACTAGCATATGCAAAGCACACTGCCTGCTACATAACATGCATTTATTAGATATTTATACAGATGAATAAACATGTCTCCCTATCATCAAGACTGAAGTGAAAAAACATTCCTTCAACATACACTTGAACCATTCATCTTTCATTCATTAAGCAAATAAATGCAGAGATCCTACTATGCGTAAGAATATTAGTTGGCCAAAGGGAATTTCTGTACTTTTAAGAGGACAGAACAGTTTCATAGGCACTGACTACTACTAGAAAACATACATAAAGCTGAAGACCATGACTACAAACATACACAAAGATAGTTTCAAATATCTCTATTGGCAAGAATTAAAATTTTTAGGAGAATGAATAATAGCTACCATTTATTGAATGCTTACTATATGCAAGAATTTATATGAACTAGTTTCACAAGTATTAACACATCTAATCCTCATGATAATACTACTATTATTCACCCCATTTAAAAATCAAATCAGAAGGCCAGGAGCGGTGGCTCACGCCTGTAATCCCAGCACTTTGGGAGGCCAAGGTGGGCGGATCACGAGGTCAGAAGATAGAGACCGTCCTGGCTAACACGGTGAAACCTTGTCTCTACTAAAAAAATACAAAAAAAATTAGCCGGGCGAGGTGGCAGGCACCTGTAGTCCTAGCTACTCGGGATACTGAGGCAGGAGAACTGCATGAACGCGGGAGGCAGAGCCTGCAGTGAGCCGAGATTGTGCCACTGCACTCCAGCCTGGGTAACAGAGCAAGACTCCGTCTCAAAAACAAACAAAAAAATCAAATCAGGAAATTAACGCACAAAGAAGTGATCCGGCCAGCGCTGCAGAGTTCAGTGGCGGAAGTAGGTGCAAACCCCTTTCTTGACCACTATGCTACACTTGCCTCTTTAATAAAGGGCATTGTGCATTTCACTCTATACAAATTTTATTTCAATTAAGAGGAAAACAAAAAAAAGAAAAAATTATGTGCACATACTGGGAAGTACACATTATTTATGTCATAGTTTACTACATAGCCTATAGAATTCTACCTATGCAGTATGCCAAAAACGTTTAACTTGACCTTAATCCACACTGTAGGGCATTCTACAAGATACACACATCTGTGTCATGACAGGCAAAAAAGAGCACACAACTATTCTAGATTACAAGAGACACGACAACTAAATACGTTGTATCATCTCTGGCTCACCTAGGTTAAAAAATAACCTACTGTACCTAAATAAAGCAAGTATTAATAGATCTGAAGCGACAGATAGACTGCAATACAAAAACAAAAAACCTATAAAAAGGAAAAAAGGATATAAATATTATTCAGACAATTGGGAAACCCAGAATATGGAATCAGAATTGTTAGATCATGTAAATACATCAATTATATCAAGAGTATTGAGATTATGCTTTCAGAAGAGATGTGTTCAAAGACTTTAAGGCTAAAGTATCATGATGTCTGTGGCACTCTCAAATAGTTAAGGGTAAAAAATGTATATATACATAAGAGAGAAATAAAAAATGTGACAAAATGTTAACTGAGCCTCTACTAGAAAAAGGTTGTATGTCTTCATTATACTCTTCTTTCCACTTTGCTGAAAGTTTGCCACCACACTCCGGGCTGGGCAACACAGTGAGACTCTGTCTCTTTAAAAAAAAGTTGGAGATAAAAAATATGTATGTAAGCCGAACGCAGTGGCTCATGCCTGTAATCCCAGCACTTTGGGAGGTCGAGGAGGGCAGATCACAAGGTCACAAGTTCGAGACCAGCCTGGCCAACATGGTGAAATCCCATCTCTACCAAAAATGCAAAAAATTAGCCAGGCATGGTGGTGTGTGCTTGTAATTCCAGCTACTCGGAAGGCTGAGGCAGTAGAATCGCTGGAACCCAGGAGGCGGAGGTTGCAGTGAGCCAAGTTCACGCCATTGCACTCTAACCTGGGGGACAAAACAAGACTTTGTCTCGAGAAAAAAGAAAAAAATTAAAAATTAAAAAAAAAATAAATGGATGGATGGATGGATAGATAGATAGATATGTGTGAGCTATTTCAATGTGGAACCCTACAATCAACTCTACAATGAAGCTAATTACTTTAGCTTCTAAATTATCAAAATGATTTTAAAATGAGATTAATTTAGGCCAGGTACAGTGGCTCATTCCTGCAATCCCAGCACTTTGGGGTACTGCGGCAGGAGGACTGTTTGAGCTCAGGAGTTCAAGACCAGCCTGGACAGCACAGCAAGACCCTGTCTCAATTAAAAAAAATAAAAAGGAGGCCGGGCACAGTGGCTGATGCCTGTAATCCCAGCACTTTGGGAGGCCAAGGTGGGAGGATCATGAGGTCAAGAGATCGAGACCATCCTGGCCAACATGCTGAAACCCTGTCTCTATTAAAGATAAAAAAATTAGCTGGGTGTGGTGATGCGCACCTCTAGCCCCAGCTACTCGGGAGGCTGGGGCAGGAGAATCACATGAACCCAGGAGGCGGATGTTGCAGTGAGCCGAGACCGCGCCACTGCACTCCAACCTGGTGACAGAGCGAGGTTCCGTCTCTAAAAAAAAATAAAAACAAATAAAAAGGAAAAACAAAGAATGAGATTATTTTGGATAATATAAGAGACCACGCACACATACATAATGAAAATCTGTTACACATTTAAGTCTACCAAGGTCTCCAGAGTTTAGTGGTTCTCAGGTTGGGGGATGGGGACAAGGGGGAGAAAAGGCTATGATAACTAAACAGCTCCACAAAAAAGAACCTCTCTAGTTGACCTGAAGCTCCCCTGCTGGCCCTGACTCCTTAAGGAAGGCTGGTCCAGATGATGATGTCTGCAGCAGCCAGAGCTTTTACTCCCCACCAGGCACTGTGCTCAGAACTGTCTCATGTAATCCTGACACCAACCATAAGAGATGGGTACCAAGTCCCTGTTCTACAGGTAAAACGGAATATTAAAGAGACTTTATGTTAGTTTCCCAAGGTCACATAAATAGACTGCTCTTCAGAAAACTCTAACATTTTAGGCCTAGAGGTCAAAACAATTTTTTTAACCTTCCTACATATAAACTTCTATAAACACAGAGGCTCTAAGGCTTATTTTCTTTTATTACATAAATATAAATAAATATGAAGGTTTTCTCAACTTGTGTTCAACAAGAAGCACACTATCATAATAACTGATTTCAAAATTTTTCGTAGGGTAAAGAAAAATATCAAAATAAATATCATTTTAGTAGAATTCAACAAAACACATACCTCTTCCATGGTTACAATTGATAATGCAAATTTTGATGTGTCTGAGTTACACTGTGTGCAAAACAACGAACAAAATACCGGGAACAAGCACTTGCTGACATCATCAAGACCTCTACTCACCTGTACTTACCTTTCTTTATGTACAGAGGGGTCAAAAGAAAAACAGCCCTGTCAGGTCTAGCAAATATGGTCAAATAAAACAACAAAAGAGCAAACTAGTATCACATCCAAATGGACTCACCAAACAAAAATCAATCAATCAATCAATCAATCCAGCATGACAGAGAAAAGAAAGGTTTCAAACCAGGAAAAGTCTTCCTTATTCTATGAAAACCGGAAAAAAACCAGCCATGCCCTCCTCACAAACATGTATATCCACTTATCTACAGGACACATTATCCACTAAACCTGCAACACTAATAGGCTACAGAAACCTTGCCTTTGTTCTCTCACACATTTTTTTTTGTATGTAAGGCAGTTAGCAGTTAACAAAGTGCTAAAGTCATGTCAGTATTATTAAATATTACTAACTCAGACTCCCAGAGTACAGTCAACAGAAACAAATGCATGAGAGTATGAGTATGCTCTAAAATTAAAACTGTATGTATATGTTTATTGCCATTAATCACCATTCCTAAGCACACACATTTCTGATTACATAACAAAATTTTTTCTTCAATGACTTTGGAAATGAATATATAAAGTATTCAACTGCACAAAAGGTAAAGATACAAGTGCATTATCTATTCTTAAAAGAATACACGGCCTTTGGGGAACTTCACAAAAAAAGGTAAATAGTAAACCAATTTCTCCCCAAAAGTTATGCCGCTGATAGTTTTCCTCTTTTTTTTTTTTTGAGACGGAGTCCCACTCTGTCACCTAGGCTGGAGTGTAGTAGCTCAATTTTGGCTCACTGTGCCTCCACCTTCCAGGTTCGAGTGATTCTCCTGATTCAGCCTCCCAAGTAGGTGGGACTACCGGCATGCATTACCATGCCCAACTAATTTTTGTATTTTTAGTAGAGACGGGGTTTCACCACGTTGGCCAGGCTGGTCTTGAACCCTTGACCTCAAGTGAGTCACGCACCTTGGCCTCCCAAAGTGCTGGAATTATAGGCATGAGCCACTGCACCAGGCCTCATTTTTTTTTAAAATCATTCAAGAAATAAATGTATACAATTTTGTAAAATGTTTAAGCAATAAGATATGTATAATATAAAAAGAAAATTTCACCTCATTCCACAAAACTGATCCTATTTTCAATGGAAGCTACTTAAAGATTCTGGAACTTCTTATAGAACCTTTTCTATGCACATTTCTCTTTTTTTTTTTTTTTTTTTTTTTTTTTTTTTTTTTTTTTGAGAAGGAGTCTTGCTCTGTCACCAGGCTGGAATGCAGTGGTGTAATGATCTCGGCTCACTGCAACCTCCGCTTCCCAGGTTCAAGCGATTCTCTTGCCTCAGACTCCCAAGTAGCTGGGACTAGAGGCGCGTGCCACCACACCCAGCTAATATTTGTATTTTTAGTAGAGACAGGGTTTCGGCATGTTGGCCAGGATGGTGTCGATCTCTTGACCTCGTGATCTGCCCACCTTGGCCTCCCAAAGTGCTGGGATTACAGTTGTGAGTCACCACGCCAGGCCCTCTATGCACATTTCTATGTACATATACGGGTAACATTTGATTTGCTAGTGGTACTTAGCTTCTTCCCTCTCCCTTGTTTCAGGATACTCACCTGTGTTATATTAATACTTAAAATTTTAAATTTAAAACACATTAAAAGAAATAATCACCTCTACTAAGAATCAAAAGAACAAGTAAATATAAAGGTTCTTCATCTAAGTCTAAGGTCAAGTTTTATTTATAACTAAGTTCTTCACAACTCAACAACAAAAAGCTAATATCCAGCATAATCTTTCCAAAGAAACAAAACATAGAACCAAAAGCTTAAATAAAAGGTATTATTTCATCAAGCACCAAAACTACCTACAATCATGTGTATACAAGGGTTTAAAATACGAGTCCCACATAGAGCGTAACCTTAAACATCTACAGCTTTTTAAATGTTTTTCTTTTTTTTTACTTCATAGAGACAGGGTCTCACTATGTTGCCCAGA